ATTTATTTGATGGCTGGAGGTAGACTACTTACTCTGAGATTTTATATTTAAAAACTATGAACTCATCACCATAGATTAAACAACCAATAAATATATAAGGTAGCCAGCTGCATTATAAAATGTTGCTCATGCATGAATGTATCAATTATTATAATCCCAAAATATAATACATAATAATGTAATACAGTAATAATAAACCACTGGGCATCATGATGAGGCCTCTTACTCTTTTAACTGCATTTTTATAGTTCTCTGTAGCTACTTATTAAAGTTACATTTTTAATACAAGACCTTTACTTTTTACTTTGTGGTATTACTCTTAAGATCACAAGAAGTAAAGGGTTTTAAGAGTGTAAAACAGCTCCAAAAGACCGTCACAGTGCACAGAGAGGACAGACCAATGGGGCCGACTCTGACTGTGTCGCCCCCTGTTGAAAGCAGTCGACATTACAGCTCATTGATTGAACGCGGTACGAACTATCCGCCTCTTGTCGCTGTTGTCTCCTGCGGTGTGCGGTGAAAGCCAGTCAAAGAGCACTAAAATGGCGCTCACTTCCCAAGGAACAAAGAAAAAAGTTTGCTACTACTATGATGGTGAGTACTCGTGTGCTTGTACTTTAAGACAAGCGGATGCGCCGATGAATGAAATCCGCCACTTTGCGCCAACAAAGGCTGCAGTTTATTTCACCTCTCGCTAACCTGGCACGTTAGCTAACCTAGCTAGCTCGAGTAGCAGGCGGCTCTCTTCCTCTCAGTCTAACACAGTGTGGTTGAGTCCACACAGGTCCATAATAGTGTTTGCTTAGTTTCCCCGGAAGCACCGGTTGCATTTATAAAAGCATTTTAAGCGTTTACCTAGCAGCTGTTAGTACTTTAACTAGATTAGTTAGCCAGGGAGCTAACAAAGGGGCTGTGAGTACTTCATTGTCACCGCAATTAACGTCAACACTAAGCTAACGTTAAAATGGCTCATCTTGCTGCCTTCAAAAGCCCGGTGGTAAGGCGGAAAATAATGTTTCGGTCGACGTTAGTCGCCACGAGTAACAAAGCGCCACCCTGTACGTGCAGCCTGTAGTTTCTGTAGTTTCATAGGAGCGATTTGACTTCGGTATTTTGGAGCGAGATGTCCGGTTGTAGGATCGTTACAGACACATTGTTCAGTTCCTTCACATTCATGCTCCTTTTCAGTGCATTAACCTCTTGCGTTCACTGTTCACTTCATGCGTACATTTGTTCCATGTGTCCATGGAAAATAAATAAATAAATAATCCAACATTGTGTGTTTTTATTTGTTTACATTTCAGGTGATGTTGGGAATTATTACTATGGTCAAGGACACCCCATGAAGCCCCACCGAATCCGCATGACTCACAACCTGTTGCTCAACTATGGCCTTTACAGAAAGATGGAGATATATGTATGTTAAATTACAGTAACCGTTCCTTTCAGTCAAACCAGTGGACCTCCCTGGCTTTTTCCCGTGTGTCTCGGGAACTCATATTGTCCTCTGTATTTCAGCGTCCACACAAAGCCAGCGGAGAGGAGATGACCAAGTATCACAGTGATGATTACATCAAATTCCTGCGTTCAATTCGGCCGGACAACATGTCTGAGTACAGCAAACAAATGCAGAGATGTGAGTTTGGTCAGAGAGTTAGTCTGTGTGTAGATAAAGTAATGTTTGTGTTCATCAATCAATCTGACGGTCTCAAGATGAATATTAGCAAAATTCTGATTGTTTGTCTGCCCTTGCTCTGCAGTTAATGTGGGAGAGGACTGTCCAGTGTTTGATGGTTTATTTGAGTTCTGCCAGCTGTCAGGAGGGGGCTCTGTTGGTAAGTTGTTTCTCTTAAATACTGCTCAGACGGGCGTGCTGTGTTAAGACAGTAATCATGCCATCACTGCCCCTGTAATCTCTTCAGTATTAGTCTGCTGTTAATTCTCTCCTCCTCGCTGTGCTCCAGCCGGTGCGGTGAAGTTGAACAAACAGCAGACAGACATTGCTATCAACTGGGCCGGTGGCCTGCATCACGCCAAGAAGTCTGAGGCCTCAGGGTTTTGCTACGTGAACGACATCGTACTGGCTATTCTGGAGTTACTGAAGTGAGTGCAAAAGGCCTGTCACAGGCTACTCGAGTACATGTTTGTTTTGCATGAGTGGATGATACTGTGCTTGGTTGGTCTTTGTTGAAAACTGATGGTGAGTGGCGGCATTGTGTTTTCATAAAGATCGGTAATACATTTAGAATATTTTAAAATACCACAAGATGTTTTTTGTCATAGGCTAGATTTTAGGACTTAATGGACCTTTCCCCTCTTTCCAGATACCACCAGAGAGTTCTGTACATAGATATCGACATCCATCACGGGGACGGTGTGGAGGAGGCTTTCTACACCACAGACCGTGTTATGACAGTTTCCTTCCACAAGTATGGAGAGTACTTCCCTGGCACAGGAGACCTGAGGGTAAGCCTTGAAATCATCTGACGGATAAAAGTCACATTGTCATTGTTACACGCTGAGTTGACATTTCTTTGTTCTCTGCAGGACATTGGTGCTGGGAAGGGTAAATATTACGCCGTGAATTACCCACTGAGGGATGGGATTGACGACGAGTCATATGAGGCCATATTCAAACCTGTGAGTAAATAAAGACTAGTTAACTGTTAAATGTATAGTAATTGAGATCTCCCTTGATGGACAGAGGCATTTGAAAGAGTGGATGTTGTTTGTATAGATCATGGCCAAGGTGATGGAGATGTACCAACCCAGTGCAGTGGTTCTGCAGTGTGGAGCTGATTCTCTGTCAGGGGACAGGCTGGGTTGCTTCAACCTCACCATCAAAGGTAAGTTGACGAAACATCTTTCCGCGAGCAAAGAATTCTGCAACCGTCTCGAATTAAGTTTAACTGAGAAACCAAGTCTTTTTCTCCCAAATAAAAACGTTTTTCCCACGCTGTGTGCTCAGGCCATGCCAAGTGTGTGGAGTACATGAAGAGTTTCAACCTGCCGCTGCTAATGCTGGGCGGAGGAGGCTACACCATCCGTAATGTGGCACGCTGCTGGACGTATGAGACTGCAGTAGCACTTGATACCTCCATCCCCAACGGTGAGTCTTTATGCCCATATTGCACTGAATATCATTAGTCTGGTGCACATTTTAGTAAGCTGCTTTAGGTAGCCTTCTTCAGGGTTTGTACGAAGTCTTAAAAGTTTGGAAAATGGTTAGGTTTTCAAGGTTGGGAATATGTTTGAATTGGAATGTAATCCTTAAGAAGATGCTTGATGTTGAAGCTAATATGGTGTAAAATCACAATAACTCATGTAAATCAAAAATCTTATCTAAAAAAATGTATATTTGAAGTGACCCAGTTCTGTTGAAGACCTGTTACACAGATTGCTGTGGGTATATAATTCTGTAAACTTTGTTTTTTGCAATTGCATCTATAATAAAAACTTTGTAAAAGCTTTGAGAGTTTGAAAGGTTGTAGTTAAGCGCTTCAATTTTACTCTTATAAAGCTGTACGAACCCTGGTTCTTGTAGCAGGCATAACATTTTGACTCTGTTGTAACATTAGCTTCTCAGGAGGTGAAGGGGAAGAAAATAAGCATAAAACCGTTTTAGCAGCCTCATACAAACAATGAAATGACTTCATATTCATTAACTAATGATAAATCAGAATCAGAAATACTACATTTGTTAAAGAATGTCAGTTGTGTAAAATGTCACTCTTCTCCACAGAGCTCCCATACAATGACTACTTTGAGTACTTCGGACCAGACTTCAAGCTGCACATCAGCCCCTCCAATATGACCAATCAGAACACCAACGACTACTTGGAGAAGATCAAGTAAGTGCAGAATAGTTTCTTTTTGAAGTGTTTCTGAAATTCCAGTAGCATAATGTGCATTGCGCAGTCCTAATTCAGTAGTTTCAGCAGCAGTTAAATCTACAGTTACGTTCCTTGTATTGTGATTGGAAAGTTGAGAAGTTTGCCATATCACAGGTACAGGATTGTGTCTCAGGTTGTTTGTGGTTTCATGGTTTCATTTTAGTAGTGGTCAATATGTTCAACCTGCGTTCTGTCCTCTAGGCAGCGTTTGTTTGAGAACTTGCGTATGCTGCCCCACGCCCCGGGAGTTCAGATGCAGGCCATCCCTGAGGATGCTGTACAGGAGGACAGTGGAGATGAGGAGGAAGATGACCCCAACAAACGCATCTCCAGTAAGAACCTCTCTGAGTCATCACTTTCTTGTCCCTTTAACACCAGATCTCTCGCATCTTGCAATTAACTGACCGAAACAGTCGAATTCCATGTTGTAATTTAGCCCTGTCCTCTGTTAATGTTCAGTCCGTGCTCATGACAAGAGGATAGCGTGTGAGGAGGAGTTCTCTGACTCAGAGGATGAAGGCGAGGGAGGCCGCAGAAACGCAGCTAGCTTCAAGAAAGTCAAGAGAGCCAAAACTGAAGGCGAGAAAGAGGGAGAAGAAAAGGAGAAGAAAGGTGAGGAGGAAACAAAAGGTATCTATTCATATTTTATTTTTCAATTTCATCTCTCCCGACTCCCTGTCGTTTTGTTACATAAAGAGATCTTTATGAGTTAACATTTGAAGACATTCTATATTAAACAGAGGTTGTGTTATTATGATGTCTATGAATGTTTTTTTTTTTCTTTAATTTAATAGAAGTAAAAGAAGAAGAGAAGGTACCAGAGGAAGAGAAAATGGACACCTCAAAGTGAGAAAACACTGCACACACTAATTCCCAAGTTGTCCAGGAAGTGGCTTATTGGGAACGTTAATCTTTTCCTTACTCTGGGTCCTTTAGGCCTAAAGAGGAATCCAAGACACCGTGAGGTCCAGTGATGCCAATGCAACTGTTCAGGATGGATGATAAAGCAAGATTTTTTGGATAAATCATCTTTCCAGGCTGCTGCTGTGGAAATCCATGAAGGACTATACCTTTGTAATGAGACCTCACTCGGAGATGTGACGGAGATTAAAACGTGATTTTCTAGGACACCTTTTCAACCTTGCTGTTTATGGACTGCAGTCAGTCAGTGTTTTTGAGTATTATTTTGTATGCTTTCTCATTTTTTTTTTTTTAATCCTTAATCTTTTTACGCTATAACATTTGCTTTTCCCTTGTGAAGCAAGTCTGTAAAATGGCTTAGTATATGTACGCTTTTATATATCTGATGGATTTAATTTATTTAAATCATAGATATTTTGGCTACTCTGTTATGTCTTTCAGTCCCACTTTTGTCCAGTGTCTTTGAATATGTAGTTGAAGCATGTTTATACAATAGATCCTTTTCTGTAATACATTTGTGTCACTGGTCTTGCCTGCTTAAGGTCACCGAGAGTGGTTAAGAGGGTTGTGCATCTACCTGAATACCTATTTTTATTTTTTTTTATTTTTTTTTTGTATGTGTAAAGTAAATTACAGTCTTATATTTTAGGATGTAATTTAGTATGTGCCCCTTTGACAAATTTCCTTGACTCCTGCCTCACAGTGTGGAAAATTTGAGTCCTGTCAAATGATTGCCAGAATCAGGCTTAGATGACACCGAGTACATTTGGACATTCATGTTCAAATGTACTCAGTGTAAACTGGGAGGTAAGACAAATGCCAGAATTCATTTGTTGTATATATTTGTATTCTGAAACATGTTCCACAAGAGAGCTTGCAAATGTCATTTAAATTTCAACGGACCCTGGTGTGTTGACCACTCTTTCAACACAAATAAAAACTGCCCTAAAAAGTTACATAGCTTTATTCTGTAAAGTTTTGAGGGTTTTCTTGAGATTATAAAAGGTTATGGCTGGTATGATGAAAGGATTGACAATATTTTAAAAAGAAAATAATTTTAATGTCAATATACAGTTAACAGCTGTCTGTATTTTCAAGACAATACCACAATACAAATTCTTACATTTCAATCCAAACTGACAGTATTTTTAAAAGGTTCCTTTAGATAAAGAAGAAAAGAAAATACCAGTGTCTTTGCTGATTGAAGTCCCACAAATGTCTTCAGACATTTAACGTGTAACAGATACACTCAACACAGCAACTTCACAGATGAAGCAGTTTGCAACCTATCGTTAGGTTTAGCGCGTTCAGAGCCATTCACTCTGCTCCACTGCAGTGACCGAGTCCAGCAGTTCATCCTGTTCTGCTGGCTCAGCTGTATCATCGCTCTCTAGATCTCGTGCTGGAGGCAATGATGAAGTTTCTACAGTTCTCTGGATACGCACCTGAAACATTACATTATTGGAATTTCATTAAAGAGAAGCTAACTTACACTAACAACCTGACTGCTAAGGTAACAAGACAGCACCAGATGACAAAATCAATAGAAAACTATTTAGTAAGACTTAAAAGCAGCCACCACGCACTAGGTATTTTCTTGCAGATATCCAGTAGTAGTGTGGGGAGGATATCTTGATGCTTAGGCATGTCAAAACCTGTGTCATTCTTGACAGCCATATTTTATGGACAAGGTACTTGACATCTGACAAGAATGAAAGTGGCTTAGAAAATATAGACTGAGCTTTTGTATCAGTGCTGAGCAGCACTTAATATGTTTACTTTAAATTAGTATTTTAAGCTTATTGCAATGTGTGTGGCACATAATTAATACATGAGCACATTTGAAATCTTATATGCATTTCTGAGGGGCATGTGCTGGTAAATAAACGGAGCCACTGGTGATGTTTAATACTTTGATTTCCATATGATCATGCACCAAGACACCATAAGATGAGGGACACGGTTACCACAAGCTCTGTTCAGGTTTGCCTAGTCAGCAGGTCTAGACCACTGGCTTCTATATGTCTGCATTAAGTTCAGTCATATTGCTATTTGTGGATACAACAAAACCTGGTCAGTTTACTGTTAAAACTTGGCTTGATTTAATGTTGTTATGTAGTTGCTATGCTACTACTAAGCCTGGTATTAAATGATACCTTCTAGGAATGATTAATTATAAATAAATGAACGTAAGCATTACTTAATAGTTGTATAATTTGTTTTAAAGACATTTCTGTGTAACCTCAAACAGTATGTCACAGTCAGGCAGAAAAGTGCTGATTTCTCTTGTAAAAATATACATTTGTCCTTTAGCAAATCAAGGTTAGAATACAGTGTTTGTGCTTTTTGCTGTATATCAGATCTGTTTTGGGAGGTTTTAGGAATTCAGTTTCAGCTCAATGTTTCTCACTAACCCCACTAACAGTTATGCTAAAACATTTTTTTATATTCAAAGAGTACAACTGTAATGAATTACTGATGTGACACAGTAAGATGACGTAACACAATGCGACAAATAATGCAGTGATCTTACCCTCTTGGCCTGGGTCGGCCTCCTCCTGCACGGACAAAGGTAGAGGAATGAAGTACAGACAGCAAAGCAGCGAAAGGAGAAAACCATTTCCATCACGGACATCAAGATTAGAGGCACCCACAGGATTATTGTGGTCCCCTGGTCGGCATGACAGCACACAGACAACTCTGATTAATAAGAGGCAAAGCAAGTCCAAAGTGCTTTGGGATACATATTTATATTCAACTTACATAAATACGGGTAGGGTCAAAGGGGCATTCGTATGTGATGCTGGAAGAGGAGCCAACATCATCATCAGAAAATGTGCAGTGCGTTAGCAGGCTCTTTCTTTTGTGAATAATGGCTTTCACCACAGAAACTGACAAGCCCACGGAGGAGGCAACTGCCAAGAGACCTGCCAGGAAGCTGAAGACCAATAATACCCACTGCTGCAAGGACAACATGACAAGAGTATGTTTGTTAGTGAAAACACAACCTTAATAATCTAGTGATCAATCATGTGACAGATTTTCCTCATAAAAGATTCAGATTTGTAAGAGGGAGGTAGTTTAGGAACATGGATAACACAGGTGAGTCCAGTCAAAAAACCCATCAAATATTTGAATAAATTCCATATTTGCATGTAGTGTATGTTGCCTATTTAAATAGTCATTATCTTATTTATCTCCCTACACATGCACTCACTGAAAAAACAGAAGGCAAGTTCTAACAGGAACCAGCAAATTACAGATATGTGTTGAACGGAGGAAGGAGAAGCTGTGCCAAGAAGAGAGAAGGCAGTATTTAGCCAGGAATCCCTGTTTTTCCTTGTTTTTGGACCCAAGACAAATGGCCGTTATTCCCACTAATAATCCTCCCTAAGGGGCAAAGGCAAGTCCAGAAAAAAGAGCAGCAGCTTTCATTTGCACAAATAGATGATACAATATTACTTTAAAATTGTGCTATTTAATAATTAAGTATTTGCATGCATTGACACAATTTACAAGTCTATACTGCATTGTGAACCTATTTCATTAACAAATTGCTTTTACGTTCTTTATGCACACGTCCTACCACTTACCACCAAGCCTTCCACAATAGCAATGACATTAGAGATGGCGTACACCATGGTGCGGGCCTGAGCGTGCACGTTGATGTGCCTGAGCACGGCGCCATGCACCAGTGCTCCAAGAAGAAAGTTGACATGTCCCACCAGCACCAGCCCCAGCCCCATCTTCATCAGGGCTTTGTTGTCCTTGAGGTTGGCACAGCATACTCCTAGAGGTGGCAGAAGAAAGATGTTAGTTTGACCTCATAATTTAACTTAGCTTTCAGCATTGTGACCCCTGCCAAAAGAAAAGGTAAACAACTAACTAATCACACTGCAGTCCCTATTGTCAGACTGAAGCATGTGACGCTAATCCCGGGTCAGAGTATGTAAATACCAGCTGTGTGTGCACAGTATGTGTTGTTGACGGGAACCAATATAGTTTACAGGATGAAATTAAAGTACGCAATATATGGGACAATATCAACATTTCATGTCTTATTATCCTGGCAAAAGTAAGTCTGGTCTAACTTGTGGTGTATACAATGGGCAAGGCGAGCATTCAGCCATGGTGATGATTTTGGTATGCCTGGAATGATGGGAACTTCCCCTTGTGGCAATTCAAAAATACATCAGAAAAATCAATATAGGACCGTACGTCACACGTGAGGATATTCACGATTATCTGGATAATCGAATTCAACACTATCATTATCTGAGTGTTTTTTTATCGCAATACATGATAATATAGTATATCGTCCCATCCCTAGTACGCACAACGAGTGTAACAACATACCAGTACAATGGAGTATCGCAATATTATGTTTTGTGACACTGTATCAAGTTTAAAAAACACAATTGATTTGTAATTAATAGTTTACATGCAAAGATTCCATGGCAGTGGTTCATGTTGTGTTGTTGTGTTTAAACCCACAGCCATTTACCTTTTCCACTCAAATGCTCAGACTGTGCTAGTGCAATGATATTGGATGGATCTTACATATACATGCAGATCCCACTGCTCTGGTTGCATAAAACTTTTTTTTAACTCAAATTTTATGCATATCGGGGTGTGTTCTTTAAACTATTTATATTTATATATTATTTATATTTAATCTTAACCCCTGTATCGTGATATGTATCGTACTGGCAGATTCTTACCAATACTCAACACGCACATAGGTTTATTAAATGTGATCTGACTGTAGAACGAGCTGTAAGTGCCGTACACAGAGAACTTGTGTGAGAGCTGACTTCACTGCAGTCTGGTGGTTTCAGCAAAGCCAAAAGGAAGTGGGCCGGTGGTTAGCGCACTGTGACGACGCTTGAGTACAAGGCAGTTACCACAATTATCCCCGACCCCTGCAGAGGTGGCTGAAGATCTCATCCACTGCATGCTGCAAAATGCTGCAGCTATAGTGACAATTCGGAGAAGAGGTCTGAGGTGGGTTGTGTTGCACTATTTTGTTCCTTCCTTTGGGTAAAAGTGAAGCAACCCCCCACCATAAAAACTGTGTAAACCCCTCCTGAACAAAACAGGAGAAAGCTTTGGGTGGGGTGTTCAAACCTTCACCACCCGTTTCTACCTGACCTGAGGGGCAGGTAGAAACAGATACCTGCGACCGGCTCAGCCTCATTCAAGCCTTGGTGCTGTGGAAAAACTCACCATGTTTTTAGTCATAATATTGTTAGTCTAATGTTTGCTGCCATTCAAGTACACATAACCACATAATGTTACTGTAATGTACAGACTCTACCAAAAGCCCTATGATATTCACAGTATTTACATATTCATCTTATCAAACTTAATATATCTTAAATTCTAATATATTATTTTTTTGACTAGGACAGCAGGCCTCTTTCTTTCTGCTTCATTCTAATGTCTGACACATTTACTTTCTTTAGGTTCAATAATAATATAAATGTAATATTTAGTATACTATTGGTCTACATCTAATCTATCAACAGCTCATAATCATGAATTCTAGCAATAGTTACCCAGAGTTTAACTTAAATTTAGGTGAAAACTCCATACTCACTACTACACCCAAGGCTTAACCACTCAATTTAATTTATATAATTTAAACAACAACATTACATTGAGTTCTGTCAGCCAAACATCAGAAAAATGTTGGTTAGCTAGTCTCTTCTCCTGTGAGCTCGTCTACAACTGCAGACCACGCCTAAATACTTTAGCACGCAACATACCTGTATACACACACACACACACACACCTCAAACACATGAAAGTCAACTTACCTGCATTCACCATGGTGGATTTGTTTAATGTCCGCTCAGATCACATTAGTGTACAATTTATATTAAATTCATTTCTGAGTTGACACTCCGCTTTTGCTGGGTCGTTGTCTTCCTGACTGCCGCTCACCTGCGGAATAACAGGCGTCACTTTCCGCCTACCTGTGCGGAAGCTCCGCCCCAAAGCACGTTCACTGTACGGGAGCTGTGTGAGGGGGATCTGATCTGTTAGAAACACACGCCACTATATCCCAGACTGGCTGTTAGCTGGATTGCATATACAAAAAAGGATATTTGAAAATTATAACAAGAAATCTAAAAATAGAGAATGAATTATTCAGTAAGGCTTTTCACAAAGCTCACACCACATTGTAGTGTATGTGATTTGGACATTTTTACTTTTACTGATAGTGGCTTCAAGGTTCCCCTTTAATCACTGAAACTGTATGTAACCTATGATAAAACGTTGTTAATGACTTTTGTTCTTATTTGATTTCCCACCGTATAAACTAGAATAATAAGTAGTTAATGACTACATGTACACAGAGGAGCCATCCGGATAGTCCTGTGAGTGCCTTTAATATGTGTCTTAAATAACTGTAATATGTACACAATATTATCTTTAAAGGTTATAATACCAGCACCCATAAAATATAACTACATCACACAAAATGTATTGACTTGAGCAGCTATAGGCAAATCAGTCTCCATAAAAATATATTCCATTGAATAATTGCTGCTGCAAATGAGGAAGACTGGACTATTTACTCAGGGTTTAACAAAGACGTGAACAAAATACCCAATTTGCTTAGGTTTCTTTAATTACAGCTGCTTAATGCCTCCAGTCTCACAATAAAAGCGCCACTGGCTGCCTCATTAGTTTGATTGCCAGCACCTGGTCCCTCCTGCCACTACACCTTATTAAAGACACACCTGCAGGGGTAGGAGAGCAGAGTGGTTGGTCCACTTTGAGATTTGCAATGGGGACAATAGAGATCGTTCTCTGCGTTTTTGTTGGACATTTTGTCGCTGTTCAATCAGTAATGAGCGAGCAGGATGCCAGATATCCTCAGCATTTTCCAGGATTTTTTGACAACATCATGCCTTTTCCATTTAAAAGACATTTTGACTTCCCTCCGTATGACACCATCTTCAGCTCATGGCGAACTCAGGCACCTGACTTTCACATGCTTGCTGAATTTCCTCCACTGATGGGCCTTCCCCAAGTAGAAGTGTTTTGCGATGAATCTAAGCTGACTCTACTGGTGGATAAGAGATCCAGCGGCGTCATGCTGACTAGAGAGGAGATACAGTTGGGTAATGGCTGCTATAGCAACAGAGAGCTACCAAACCAATTTGTCTTCACTTACGGTTTGGATGAGTGTGGAACTACACGTGTGGTGAGTTGACCAAATTCTTTAGTTTCTTCATTGCCAACGGCAGTGTGTGTATTCTCTGAAACCAGACTCTCTTACAGATGCAGAATGGCTTGGCGATGTTCACCAACTCTCTCCACGTAAATTTCAAAAAACCTCCCTCCACCGGGTGGCAAGCTCCTTCTACAGTGTACATCTCCTGCATCCCAAAGAGGTGCATCTATTGAGTTACTAAAACCTGTAAGTGGTCACAAATGAATATATACTAAAGGGGCTGTGTGACTTTTCAGGTCCTATGCCAATCCAAACTTCTTTGTATCAACGACACTTGCTGAGAATGACAAGACCTTGAACATCAAAGCCATGAATCGTGAGTAATAACATTAGTCAGAAATATTCTGGTGTAACTGTTTAATTTGCAGACACAAATGTTTGTTTTTTTTCTCTGCAGCATCCTGGACCAGCACTGTGGAGTCTAACATTTATAAAAGAGGCCAGGTTGTCAATCTCCAAGTTTCTGCCACAGCCAGACCTGAGCAGCAGCAGCAGCAGCTTTTCATCCAGTCCTGTTTTGTCTCTGCGTCTCCTGATCCTCAGACTAGACCCAGGCATGCAGTCATAATGAATAAAGGGTAAGCAGCCACTCAGGAAGCGATCCTAATATCGTTCCATGATGCTATAATCACTTATGTTTGCTCTCTGCAGGTGCACAGCTCCTCTGGGTTCTCATCATGCTGTTGTAGAATTTGTGGCTTCTAAAAGAGCTGATGTGGTTAATTTTGTTGTGAACACATCTTATCTGATTTCTGAGGTGAGTTTAATTTTTATTTTAAATAAATTGGCTTAACTGTGATGTGTGCTGTTCAGCTGTGTGACTTTAAACTCTTTTCCTCTGAAGCTGTATATCCACTGTAGTGTCCTCCTCTCAGACCAGGGTGTCACCTCTGGCTCTAAATTCTGCAACTATAATGTGATCCAGTCAAGGTATTTGCATACACCATAACTGTACTTTGAGACCTTTTCATTACTTAATGAGATTACTTAATTTTCAGATGGGAGGACCTTGGTGGAACTGCAGAGGTGTGCGAGTGCTGTAGCTCAAAGTGTAAAGGCAAGCACCTTCCTGAAGGTCAGAACTTTGGTTTTTGTGCAACAATAATTGACTCTGGCTATTTCTGGTCTCAAACTCACTAAACATGTCATTTCAGATGCCAAGGCCATTGTCAGCACTGGCCCCTTAGTCATTGTGGACAAAGATGTAGAGACGAGCCCTGGGCCTGCTGTCTCTGAACCGCAAGAAACCTCCAGCGCTCCTGTTACCGGCTCCATGCAGTCTGATGCCTCTGGTGCAGCAGCTGAGATTGTTTCTGGTTCTTCTATACCAAGAAGCAGGCTCTCCTCTCCCCCTCAGGGTGTAGTGGTTGTGAGTCAGGACCCAGCTGCCAGACTGACCCTCTGGCTACCTGGACAGGTGCAAGATACTGAACACAGTGAGAATACTGGTTCTGAATCTGAAGACAACTTGACAGTGCAGGTACAGGCAAGTGACACGGCATCAAACGACCTTCCTGAGTTGCAACCCTCAACCAAAGATCAAGAGTCTCTCCTGAATACACCCACAAACAAAATCGAAGATCAAAATTTAAATTTTCTTACACTGGTTGATGGCTGGATCATTCCTCCACAGCTGGAAAAAGCAGCTATTGGAGATGAATCCCTAAGAAGAACGTGGAGATTCGGATTGTCAGGCACAGATGCCACACAAGAAGTTGACGTCCCTCTGTTAGATGACATCACTATAAATGTCCTAAACCAGAATGATCTTCACCAAATGAGAGAAGACCTGGCTCAAAGGCCGAAGGATGCAGCTGTGACGCTCCAAGAAGGAATAAATGACATTGGACCAGTTATACGCTCAAAACTTGAGTTTTCCAAAGGAATGGATGGGTCACAGATGCTGAGTTATGAGGAAGAAATGGTGAAGCAACAAGAGGGAGAAGGTGTCATCAGAAGAGCTGGGATGGCTGGAATTAAAAAAGGAATACAGGAGCGTAGACAGAAGGGGCTGCGCTCAACCTTCCTGGATTTCTTGAGGTAATCTTTATGGCTGCCAGTTCTGTAATGTTTCATGCATGTCAGACTAATATTTCTCCATCTCTTATCCTCAGGAGGATGGACAAAGCAGAATAATTGCAGCTTCATATGGATAATTGCACTGAATAAACAAATTGGGCAATAATGTAGTTGTGTTTGAGTGTTATTTTTTTATTTTTTTTATCCATACACTTTTGGAAGCAAAACAGGTTTTATTTATTTATTTTTTTTTTTTAAAACTCCAGGTGCTTCTGCAATGAAATGATATATTATAATTAAATTATAAAAGCGTTTAAAACTCTGTCCAGTGTGGTTCTGTGAAAGCCTTCCCACCCAGATGTCGCTGTGGGGAGCTGGGCTCTGTAGTTGGGGCAGTACAGTGTGCGCTCTCCCTTTACTCCGCATGCTCAGTGTGTTTTTATTTTTTTTTCTATCCTGAGTTTGACCCTGGCCACTATTTCCTCCGCACCGCCACTCTCTATAAAGTGCCCATGCTTTTCCCCACGCAGTCTCTTTCCCCGACCACAAACAACCGTGAGTGTCTAACTCACTGTTCTTGAAAAACTTAAAATAAAAATAATATAAAAAATATAAAATTCACAAAATCTTAATAAAAACAAGAACCTTAATACTTAAAGAAAAAAAACAAACGTTAAAAAAAAATAGCAAACTCATAATAAAAAAAAAATACTATAAACAAGAGGCCTCGGGCTTAACCCAAAGTTGGCATCTTTTTAAAGGAAGAAGACATACTTCAGAGGACATCGATTTATGTCATTTTCTCAACACGCCGGACCAGAGAGCCAGCTGTCGGTGTCTTTATCAGGCGAGAATTGAAGTGCGGTTCGGACCCGGGATACGGATCATACCGGCGTTTTTTACATTTTTTTTTCCTGACGTTTTTGAAGGAAGCCTTGCGTTCACCAATTTTGTGAAATCCGAGATATGAACACAGCGACGGGGAGTTATCCGATGGCTTCTCTCTACGTTGGCGACCTGCACCCCGATATCACGGAGGCTATGCTGTATGAGAAATTCAGCCCAGCCGGACCGGTGCTCTCCATTCGGGTATGCAGAGACATGATCACCCGGCGATCCCTGGGATACGCTTATGTGAACTTCTCCCAGCCTGCTGACGGTAAGAAAGGAAACGTGTGAAGTGATCACTATGCGGTTTGAGCATTGCACGTGTCAGTGTATGCGGCTTTAAGAGGCAGCAAGCATGATATAATTCAAATATTGACAATGTCAACCATACGGTTTGAATGTCACTCCTGAAACTGTCTGCACAATCAAAACCGGGAGACACCGGCAATGTGCAGAAAGCATGGTGCCTTCACTCAATTATGGCTGAAGTGATATTTTTGCAGTCTAATATAGTCATAGCAGTTCTTTAGACTGGCTGGAGCACTCATTTGACCCATATAAGCACGTCCCAGTTCTTGGATACTCCATGGTAATACATGTCACTGCCATAGTTAAAGCCCTTACACACATGCAGAGTTTGACGTGTGCTTCAAAGTGAACAGAAAAGTCATTTTTTTTACACATCAATTATAGCACTGCATTTGGGAATGTAAGCTCCTTTTTGCAGATCTCACTCATTCAGCCCAAAATGACCCATTTCTGCTCCTATTTAAAGGGCCGCTGAGTGAAACCAATTCCCACTGCCCTCTGCTGCTACAGCCACTGAAAGCATGAAAAGGGACAAGCGCAGCTGCTTGACATGTTTGTTATGTGCATTGTCTGGTACATGCAATAATATCACAGACTGGATCCTGTTTCTACTTGGATTTAATCCCAGCTTTATTTTGAACTGGTTTGGGATTAGGTGGATTTTATAGGTTTATCTGTAATATCTGAACCACTTAAACTGCCTGTCAATTGTTAATCTATTGGAACCGCCTGCCTGAAATGTCTACGCAACTACAAATGTATCAAAAGTGTCTTTATTATGAGGTTTTTCTATTTGCAGTCAAAACTATCAAAGCACTGAGCAGTAGCAGCAGGTGTTGTGGTTGACTTTGGAGGCCCGTTGATGCTGTTTACATTGCGTGGACTTTTTTCCCTCTTGTATCAACGTTAAACACCTGTTACAATTTATCTGAGTCGGTTACCAAAAGCCGGAGTAATGATAGGTTACAACTGGCAAGCTTCCAGGGAGGTAGTATCACTTGAGTAAATGTAATAAGAGCCACAAGTTAGAAGACACCATTTGTTATTGGAGGTGTAGACACGGGGGATGGTAGCTGTTGGGTATTTACATTGTGTCCTACCACGTGCCAGTGGGGCAATAACTTGCTGCTATAGAATAGAACTGCTCAGTACACCTGATTTCATGCAGAGTAACGCAACAGCTAAGGTTTGCGATCCCCGCTGGATCGCTTCGCGTCACAACTGTATATGTAAACGCTCATGAGATGTGTTGCTCATCTGAGCATTCTTGTTGAATGTGTCTCTAACCCATCAATGGTAGAGAATGCTCTACTCACACTCCATGCCAGCACATACCTCTCAGGACCCCTCTCTAAATATAGAAGGTCTTTCTGAGCAGCCCAAAATCTGCCTGCCCGTAACACTTTTAAGTTCTTAATATGACAGAAATGGTTAACAATAACGTGGAATCCAACACTGTTAACATTTTACGCTCTTTCACCATCATTCTAAATGACACCACTTCATATATGAATAATTACCATGTAGGCCCTATTACATAGATCCATTTGGTCTTTTTTGAACTAAGATTCTGACTGTGAACCTTCCAGAAGTCCACATTTGACAGCGATCACACACACCTTCTCTGAGCACACAGGCTGTGAAGTACAATTGCAAGCCAAACTGCTGATGCCAGCAGACGCAAGGCAGCTCCGTTTTGTTTACCAGACACTTTTAGCTGGAAAGCCTGGCCTGTGTGTGTGTGTGTGTTACTGTGGAGTGACTGAACAAAGGGATGTTTGGCATGTGTGCCCAAATGCATATGAGAGCCTATATGAGAGTTAAAGCAACAGACGGAGAAAGAAATGTTAAAAATGGAACCTTAGTGATTAAACCGAGCTCAAGGAAGACATTATGATCTGAGTGAAGTGAAGAATGAAACATATTAACACCCCAATTTAGGCCCATTTGTGTTATCTGAAGGCCTGCTGCACTCCTACTGAAACAGGCCTAGGTGGGATGTGGCCCAGCAGCATGTGGTGAGTTAGAGAAGGGGGCCATGTGCTCCCAGCTTGCCCGCTGCAGCTGCCCCCTACACCTGTCCCAGCTGCTCATCGGCCACATGGTCTACTGCAGTGTCTTAACCATGTTACTTGTGCCTTGTTAATTACAATGGAGCAGGGATTCTCCGTTGTAACATATTGCACTGCAGGACAAACAGTTTTAAACAAGCTGTAGTTGGTATTGGTAGAATGGAAACAATAATTCATTGTGTGAAAGAGCTACAATACATGTATTGACTGTGATAGATGGAAGCATGACGTGTCGTATGCATACTAGTAGTGACTGATGTGTTTTTAGACTCGTAGCTCCATGTAAACAATGACCTTTCCCTCCACCTCTCTGCCCCTCCTCCCTCTAGCTGAGAGAGCCCTGGACACCATGAACTTTGACGTGGTGAAAGGAAAACCAATCAGAATCATGTGGTCCCAAAGAGACCCCTCCCTCAGGAAGTCCGGAGTGGGCAACGTGTTCATCAAGAACCTAGACAAGTCCATTGACAACAAAGCCCTGTACGACACCTTCTCTGCCTTTGGCAACATCCTCTCCTGCAAGGTACAATTGTCATAAATATGACAGAGGGGCTTTAAAACAGGGATATTGTTTCTTTTATGCAGTATATATTCACACTCTCAGAAAAAACAACAACTTCCTGCTTGGAGATGTCACACAAATTGTGCCTTAGTAAGATTTGAAGCAATAGCTGGTTAGCCTTTGTCCAAAGGTAACAAAATACACCATACAGCAGGTCTAATGCTCACTAAGTAAAAGGCCATTGCGTAAGATTCAGGGCCATCTAGCGGTGAAGTTGCAGATTGCAACCATTTGAATACAGCTAAGCCTTAGTGTGTATGAGAATCTACAGTGGCCTAATGTAGAGCCAGTGTTTGGTTTGTCCGTTCTAGGTTACTGTAGAAACATGGCAGTTCAAGTGTAAAACCAGCAAACTACAAAAAAATCCACAAAATGTCACTTTTGCACTTGTTTTTGGATTTTGTATGGATTAAAAAACAAGATTAAACATGTTACTTTGGTCTTTATGCTAAACTAGCCTAACTGGCTGCTACTTAATATTATATAGATAGATAGATTTGAGAGTGGCTATGATCTTCTCATCTAACTCCCAGCAAGAAAGCAAATAAGCGTATTTCCCAGAATGTTGGAACTATTGCTTTAAAGTTAAGAAACTCCCCGCATGCGCCATGATACCTCTTTAATGGATGCATAATTACCCATACCTGTTCCTCTGTGACAGGTGGTGTGTGATGAAAATGGCTCCAAGGGCTACGCTTTTGTCCACTTTGAGACCCAGGATGCTGCTGATCGAGCCATTGAGAAGATGAACGGCATGCTTCTGAATGACCGCAAGGTGTGAGTGTCTGATCATCTAGGAACTGGGGACAAAGGGGTGTTCGCTGTTGATAGTGTTTTGAAAACCTTTTTAAAGGATTCAGCTGGAACTTTAAAATGATTTGGTAGTATTTTTCATGACATTGAAAGTCCTGTTGAAGAAGGTGCAAAACGTATTGAGCTTACGGTAATAGGTAATGTTAATAGCTGATGTGTATAGAACTGTGTTGTTATTATTTTGTGTCTTAATGCATAAACCTGACCTGTCTGTTCCACACTTGTGTTGAGTGAACTGACTTGTCGTGTATTTTTCAGTTGGTGAGTTTGTGCGTGAATAATCTGACTAATAAGCTCATCTCTCACTACCACCAGTATGAAGATAACCTCTAAACTGATAAACTAAAAAAACTCTTACTTGCTGTTATCTTTCCTACCAGACGCATTTTTTTTGTTGCCTCATTTGTCCACTCGCTGGTCATACGTCTTGGAGTGTTTGTGTGTGTGTGTGTGTGTGTGTGTGTGTATGACCACGCTTGTGTGTTTTAGTGATGGATCGAATGCAGGAATGCAATACTGGAT